TGTATGTGAATGATATGATCGTCATAAAGGATGACAATGAGAGAATTCAATGGCTCACAAACGGGTTCCAGACTGCTTTTTAGTTGGAAAAACTTTGTCTACTTTCTTGGTATCGAAATTTGTTTTTGATAGATTGGTATCGAAATTGAAAGGTCAACTGAGGGCATTCTTATTTGGCAAAGCAAATATGTCGATGAACACATGAGCTGACATCTTATATGTTGTTCAAGTGGTTAGTGTCATATACTTAACGAACAAACTACCCGACCTCAAAACATGACAAACATTTAATTTGTAACGATTCGGTAACAAACCTTTTCATTTAAAACAAAACGGTCACAAATTAAATAGCGGTGACCATTTTATACAATTTCAAAATTTTGTTACCATATTGTTACAAATTAAAGGTTTGTGACCGTTTTGTACTAAGTGCAAAGGTTTGTTACCATTTATGCTAATTACCCCATGATTCCAAGTCTTTTGCTCGTAGCCCGTGGGCTTGGGTTTCGGGATTAGCATTTTATCTCAAGCCTCTATGAAATGTTGTCAAATGGGTTTATATCATGTTGGTTTGACAAGTGAAAGTCTAATAAAGGAACAATCAATATATGTCGATTTTAACAAAATATATAGAAAAAGTGCAAAAATGTTAAAAGTAAATGTATTCCGCAGATACATAACTTTTCTCAAGAAAGTCTCTCCACAAATTACATCCATATTTAAATAAGTTAATAAAGTATAAAATTATAAATAAAATAAAAAATTATCATATTTAAATATAACATTTAATGTCAATATCTAAAACTTTTTACACGAATCTAACAAATAATATCAGCATCCATATTAAAAAAAAAATATTTCATCCTCATATTTAAATTTTTTGTTAATTAAATTTACCAAAATGCCATCATTTTGTTTAGAGAGAAAATTGGACATACAAGTTTTTTTTTTACAAGTAAAAAATTGGACATACAAGTTGGATCACTGATTTTTCAGATTTTGACTAGTATTCACCGTTTTCAACAGGCACTTCATGTTGGTGTATTTTAGTTCAGTCAATTTTGTGACCATTATCGGTTGAACCCAGTTGCATGGAACAACATACCACACCACTGATTGATGACCATGCTCCATGGCCTTCGTAGTTTGTTGTTTGTCAATATATTCATTTTTTTTTTACAATAAAAAAAATGAATATATTGACAAACAACAAACAAGTTGGACATACAAGTTGGATCACTGATTTTTCAGATTTTGACTAGTATTCACCGTTTTCAACAGGCACTTCATGTTAGTGTATTTTAGTTCAGTCAATTTTGTGACCATTATCGGTTGAACCCAGTTGCATGGAACAACATACCACACCACTGATTGACAACCATGCTCCATGGCCTTCGTAGTTTTTTTTTTTTTTTTTGTCAATATATATTCATTCTCTCGCATGAAAAATGCTACTTTTATGCTTTTGCATTAGAAAGTGTTATAGCTTAGTATGAATTCTACAAACTCTCATGCCTTGGTGCAACCCAATGAAGTGTGATGTATTCTTTGGTGGGGTTGATTTTGTAGCAAGACAGTTGACATGGGTTATATATGATTTAAAGGGCCTGTTAGATACCTAAGCTTGCCTCTGAAATCTGTTAAACTTTTTACAGCTCAATGTAATGCATTGATTGATAGGATAACAAGCATAACTAAATCTTGGAGATCTCACAAATTATCTTATGTTGGGAAGCTATAGCTGGTGGATTAAGTACTTTAATCTGTCACACAATATTGGAAGAATGTATTTGTGCTATCGAAGAAAGTTATAGAGAGTATACAGAAAATATGCTCATACTTCCTTTGGTTTGGAGAAGGAATAGGTAGAGCAAAAGCAAAGTGGAAATTACTGGCAATGCCAAAAAAGGAAGGTGGCCTAGGTTTGAAAGAGTTAATTACTTGGAATGTGGCATGTTCTACAAGGTTATTCTGCATGCTACTCTTGAGATGTGGTTAGTTCTGGGTTGTTTGGATAGAAAGATATAGACTAAGAGATAAACGGGGAATTCCATACTTAGGTAAAGGGGAATTCAATAATTAGGTGGGGTCTTGGTTGTGTAGAAAGCTTCTGAGATCAAGGCATTGGTTTCAATATAGAATGGTTGTGGATATTAGGCTAAATACAGGTAAATCGGGTGCTTAAGTATCTTGCTTAAACCATTTTATTGGTTGATAGTAGATTAGCTGGTTAATAAGAGGTTAGTAGTTAATAGGTATTTGAGGATAAATAAGGTATTATGTATATATAATTAATATTAATAATTGATTATTCTCTTTCTTTCTCCTCCCATAACTTTCTCTATAACCCTCACTCTTAAGAAATCCGAAATTAATTTAATTAGATTGTAATATTTAATAAAATTCAAAATTAATAATTTTTTCCCTTTTTAAAATAGAAATTAAAAATTTGCTCTCTTACTTCATGACAACTTGCAATGTAGTATTAACGTTTTGCAATGACATTATCAACGTTTATGAAATAAATCATTATTACTATATCTTATCATTATTAATGATTTCAATATAAGTATCAATTCTTTGCAATTATATTATTAACAATTTTGAATCAAATCGTTACCGTTTTTATATTTTCATCATCAACGTTTATGAATGAATCATTTATTTACAACATCTTTACTAATGATTCACAATATTAAATTATTAATAATGTAACTATATTTTATTAATAATTCACTAAAAAATAATAATGCTCAGCTATAATGATTAGAACCTTAAATATTTCATTACATTAATAACCATTTACATTACACCAATGATGATAACATTATATTAGATTGTTAAGAATGAGCCTAAACCCATTAACAAACAACAAAAAATGATTTAGGAGACGATGATAACGTTTTTGTATATCGTTGAAAATTCATAGCAAAAAATTTGATAGCAGTACCTTGGATTGATAACAATGAACCAATAAAAGTTGATGGTGTAATTGTTGGATATTGTTTCATAAACATTGATACTAACAATAAAAATAAATAGTAAACTTTATCAAGAAATTTATAAACCTGACGTCCAAATTGGAAAACATATGCTTCTAGGTTGATAGAGATGCAACAAATCGTTAATAATATAACAAAAGTTTATTGATAACGAAAACATCAAGAACCAAAACATTATGTTTTTATTGAATACAAAAACACTTATTTTCAACTAAATATAGTCTTTATCAATTATGTAGTGTGTACTTATTAAAGGTTACTAACATAGTTTTATTGAATACAAAAACATTGATAATAAAGTATAAAACTAATGATGTCATAAAGAGTTAAATATAATCACCAAACAAGTCTAATAAACAATTAATGACAACATTTTGGGAGCTCATTTTTTATAGTATCAATAATGATAATGTTGTGAATCAATGATATTGTGAATCATTAGTATCGATGTTGTAAATCAATGATTCATTCATAAACTTTGATTATGGAAATGTAAAATGATAATGAATGACTCAAAATTAGTAATAATATAATTGTAAATCATCAATCAAATATTGAAATCGTTAATAATGATAAGGTATAGTAATAATGATTTATTTCATAAACGTTGATAATGTCATTGCAAAACATTAATACTACATTGCAAGTTGTCACGAAGTGAGATAGCAGATTTTTAATTTATATTTTATAAAGAGGAAAATTTATTAAGTTCAAATTTTATTAAATATTAAATATTAAAATTAAACTAAATTAATTTTGGGTTTCCTTTTTTTAATTGTAGTGGAGAGAGAGGGTTATGGAGAAAGACAAAGTTACGTGAGGAAAGAGAAAAAGAATAATCAATTATTAATATTAATTATATTTGCAATACTCTATTTATCCTCAACTATCTATTAACTATTAACCCCTATTTAACTACCTGTTTCACTATCAACCAATAAAATGACTTAAATAATATGCTTAACCTTTTGGACTTAAGCACAATAACTCATGCCGGCTAAGTGTCACATGGAAAGGGGGAAAAGACTGGTAGGGATGGCAATGGGTCGGGTTGGGTCGAAACCCAAACCCAAATCCATGGGTTTATCTTTGAAAAAAACCCGGGGTAAAACCCACCGGGTTTGAAAAACTCAAACCCAACCCAACCCGTTGGGTATCCGCGGGTTCATGGGTACCCACGAGTTTTGTTGTAAAAAATTTACAATTACAAGTTCTTATCAAAATTGAAGTCAAATATCAATCTCTCAATATAAATTATCCATATATAAAACATCATTCTAGAAAATTCAAGCAAATCACAAATTAACTATACAAATTGTTCAACACCAATCTAGAAAACTCATGAAAATTGAAGCAAATCACAAATTATCCATAAATAACATGTTTAATTGAAAGCTTCTTTCTTTCAATTAAGTTTCTTTAGTCTCCACTGCATAACATCAACTTCATTCTACACAATTAAAAAGAAAAAATTAGACATGTCTCCACAAACATAAATAAGAATAGTTGTTTAGAATATTAAATATACCGAAAAAATTAATTATATGAGTGGGCGGGTACCCACGGGCCGGGTTTACCTAAACCCAAATCCAACCCAACCCGATGAATAGTGAACGGATTTAAACCCAAACCCGGCCCAAAACCCGTCAACACGGATTTTACCCGCGTTGACCGGATTGGGTCGGGTGGGTACCCATGGGTTCGGGTTTTGTTGCCATCCCTAAAGACGGGAAAGATTTTCTGTCAAAATGGTTTGGCAATCTGATAGGATCCATCCACCGATCAAGAGTTTCATGGTACAAAGTTTTATGGAGTGGATTTTTGTTCCCAGACACCACTTTTTTACTTGTTGGTACTCTAGAATAGAATAAAGACCAGAGTACAACTCAAGAGCGGCGGATTCTCTTGCTCTTAATAACTCTGTCGTGTGATTTTGTCGCAAAAAAATCAGAGATCGCTTGCTCTGGAATACAATCTTTTAAACTAAGTGAACACAAATTGATCAGAGAGATTGTTTGCTTCTAACTTCTAAGCAGTGGTGGTCGGTTACTACCACTCGCCACAGCAGTCAGAGAAGGCGAACTATTGGGAAACAAGCATAATTGCCACAACATCATTATGTACACATTGCTACTTCCGGTCAACCTTACAGTCGTCAATATTTACAAATGCAGCCACAACCTTTTTCTTCTCTATCAAAGGTGGGCCTCAGGACGCAGGCCCAAGAGTGGCCGTGGGATTGGGCCCATTGACATAGTTACATGGAACCCCCCGAAATTACAAATATGTGCGGACGCCGCCGGAAACCATAAAATATTCACATCTTTTTCCCACTTCCTTCCCCTCCCTCCAAAGCTCTGATCTCACAATTGTCAAATGTAAGGGTTGATGTGGGAAGTGTAGTCCCTGATTCCGGCCCCTTCCCAGCCCATCCATTCCTCCCACATGTCCCACTCCGGATCCTCCATCCCTCTCAACGGCTCATCTCCCTCTTCTTCATCGGACGGCCCATACGCCGCCGTCGCCGACGACTCGTAGGACCCATACCCTTCGGACGCTTCCTCCCTCAGATTCCTTATCGCAATCTGCAAACCCACCAAAATACAACAATCATAAGAATTTCTCCTCTCTATCAAATTATACTATTGTTCTATGTGGAGTTGTTAGGATAGCATATGGACACGACAGACCATCGGGGGCCTGGACCTAGACGCAAGAAAGAATACTAGTGGTGATGGAATATAGGTCCAAAGTAAAGGAAATAAGGAATAAACTATTGGCCTCGTTGATTCTTTCTTTTACAAGAAGAGGGTTTGGTAATTGATGTTAACATCATAACCGCACCCAGATTTCTATGATATGTGCCCTTAACCAAAACCTCTCCTCCCACCTTTCTCCATGCGTACACGCAATCCGCCTACTACCGGATTACATCCTGAAACCATATCTAAATCGCCATAAATCCAACGATTGAGATCTCGAATAGTACAGTTTGGATGGTAGATAAAAATTGGCATAGACGAATGCTCGACTGTAATGATTATCGTTAAGCCAACCCAACTAAGGCACCTAAGCAATCCGAATTTGACATCATTTTTGCCTTTTCCGGCCATCTATGGAGGACAAGAGCTCAGTCCCCAATTTCACACAGGGTACCCAAAAAAATATATATATATATATATATATATATATATATGCTTATTCTAGATTCTACTATCAATTCATTGGTGCGATTACTTAGCCCACTAATTCGATTATCGTCACATCCCATTTTACCTTGTTCTCTGAGAATTGAAAAATAAGGACATTTACAGAGCCCCTCGGCCTAAAGTCAAGACCTAATCATTATCAATGGTTCAAGGAAAATACAACTAAGAAATTCCCAAGGAGTGAGTGAAGTTTATAGAGGGATTGGCTTACATCGTAGGCTTCATTGATTTGGCTGAACTGAACTCCGCAATTGCTCCCTCTGCACACATCCGGATGATACTGATGAAGAGAAACAACCATGAGATCGGAGATTAGAAGACTAATTTTTCGAGAATGAACGAACAGTGAGTGAAGAAACCAAAAAAAAAAAAAAAGTAAGGTCAGATACCTGGAGAGCGAGCTGACGGAAGGCCTTTTTGACCTCGGATTCGGAGGCTCCAGGCTGGATCCTCAGCGTCTTGTAAGGATCCATCACCGAATAGGAAGACGAAGCAACACACAACATCCGCGACGAGTTCTGATTCCTTCCGGTGACGGTATTGTTCCTCGCCCTTCTCCGGCTCCGGAACCAGGACGTCGAGGAAGATCCGCCGCACCCGCTCCCTCCGATCATTCCCATAGCCGCGGCCGCGCTAGCCATTTCTTTTCCGATGAAATCAAAGCCTTAGAGCTCGCGAACCAAAGGCAGAAGGGAGAAAAAAAATAGAGAAGCAGTGAGCAGAAATGAGGACGAATGAATTGGAACTGGAGGGAAATTGTTTTCTTTCTAATTTCTTGTGGATAATGCGAGAGGAGGAAAAAGTGGGGATGTTGAGATCTGAAGGCGCTGTGGAGGAGGGGACTGTATTTATAATAAAACCCATTGAATGAATTCGGAGGAGAGAACAGGAAAACGGAAAAGAAGGGAAGAAAAGGATAAAAAGAAAAGTCCTTATCCAAAAGTCACCGTCCCGAGTGGAGATGACGTGTTAACACCGTTATGGGGGGAGGAGGATAAGAACGTGAAGGGGGTCAGAATTGTTGTGATTAAAACTGAAACCGACTTTTCTGAGTTTTCCCGCTTTGTTTTGTTTTGTTTTGACTTGCCGGGCAGGCAGTTTCGTGAATTCATTCTTAATTAATAGATTTTTTTGTTTTTTTTCTGTTTTTTTTATTATTATTTTTATTGTTTTTTTTTTTGCATTCAAGGGAGGCCGAGGCCAAACAGACGGGATTACAGAGAAGAAGAAGGGCGCGTCACAACACGACGCTCAAAAGAAACACCCATACAATCGTCAATAAGAATTGAAGCTAACGCTGGCGGTGGATCAACAAGTTCATGCATACCCAGGGGATAGACGAGACTGTGCTTCGAGAGCCAGTCCGCGGCTCTATTCCCCTCACGATACACATGTCCAATGCTGACCAACCAATCCTGCGCCAAGCTCCTCCGAATCGAGGCCAACAAAGCAGCATAGGGATGAATAGGATCCTGACGACTCTTAATCAGAGTGACAGCCATCTGAGAATCTGACTCAATAAGAACACAGGCACAACCTGCTTTCCTGGCGAGCTGGAGGCCATAGTAAACAGCCCAGAGCTCAGCAAGAGTAGCCGAGGCTTCGCCCACTTTAGCAACGAAGCCCCGCACCCACTGCCCATGCTCATAACGGATAATGCCCCCGGCTCCGGCAAGACCCGGGTTGCCCATCGACGCCCCATCCACGTTAAGCTTGACCCACCCACTACGAGGAAAACTCCAGTGAACTTGAGTCACCACCCTCTCCGGCTTGGATCCCTGACGTCCAAAGTTCACTGTTGGGGCCTGCCAAGCTTTATGCCACAAGAGAGCCCTTTGGTGTATGGAGAAAGCAAGCGAGGGAGCTGTCATCGCCTTGTGCAGCCCCTGAAAACAGCCTGTACACCTGTTCTTCCAAATAAGCCACAAAGCAGTACTAAAAAAACTGTTCCAATTCATACCAGAGTCCGTCGCATCCTCCTTGAGAATATTTTCCCGGAACCAATCCTCACAGCTGCGGCTGAAAAATCTCTGCTGTTCCCCTTGCGGAATCCATCTCTGCCAGCAGAAACGAGCGGGGTAACAGTCCCGCAGCACGTGCAGGATGGTCTCTTCACAATTCCCGCATCTATGGCACATGGGGGACTCCGCACACTTACGGGAGTAGCGGAGAGCGTTAGTCGCAATGCGCCCAAGAGACACCAACCACACAAAAACTCTGACTCTCTCAGCCATCGGGAGTTTCCACATGGTTTTCCACATCTTCTCATTCGGGTCATTCCTCGGGGGCAATGCCAGGCTGTAGGCCGAAGAGGTTGAGAACTGACCATTCGAGGAGGCGGTCCACAGAATAGTGTCATCATCCGGGGACAAGGGATCCACAAGGATCGCCGTAATCTTCTGCAACACCTCGGCAGGCAGCCATTCCTCCAAACGGTTGAAGTCCCATCTGCCATCCTCATCGATATAGTCAGCAACATACTCGCCCAGCATTTCCTCCGTCACCGGTTGAAGAGCCACCTCGGCCAAGGGAACCTGCAAAAGCCAGACATCACGCCAGAATTTAGCACCTTTCCCATTGTGAATATTCCACGCACAACCCTTCCGAAGAAGGCTTGAAGCTTTAGTCAAGCTATTCCAGGTAAAGGAACTTCCCTTAACAGGTCGAAGCACTTCAAGGCCCTCTCGATGTTTCCCATACTTTGACCTCATGACTTGAGTCCAAATGGAGTCCTTCTCTTTAAGAACCCTCCACCCTCCTTTGGCAAGCATAGCCAGATTTGCATGCCGGATAGATCTCAGACCCCCTCCTCCCTGAGCTCTGGGTTCCGCCATTCTATCCCACGCCACCAGGTTCAGCTTCCCTTTCTCCTCCTCTCTCCCCCAAACAAAGTCCCTGTTAATTTTATCAATAGCATTGCAAACATTCACAGGCAAAAGTTCAGTTTGCATAGGATAAACAGGGATGGATAAGGAAACTGATCTGGTAACAGTCAGGCGCGCGGCGAGCGACAACTTCCTGGCTTTCCAAGGCGCCAGTTTCTTCTTGATCTGCAAAAGGAGACCCTGGTATCTGCTTCTGGTAACCCGACCATGAATGGTTTGGATACCCAAATACTTCCCTAGGCTGGTAGCAAGGGGAATACCAGCCCTGGTACTTAGACGTTGGGCTCTAGCCTGGCGAATATTAGGAGAAATGTAGATGATAGACTTCGCGAAGTTCACCCGCTGGCCGGAGCTATCACAAAACTCATCGAGACACTGCTTTACGATCTTCACTTGAGAGATTTTTGCTTCTGCAAACAAAACCAAGTCATCGGCAAAGAAAAGATGAGTTAGGGCTGGGCCGTTCATTGACAAGCGAATGGGAGTCCATAGCTTATCACGAACGGCCATATCAATCCTGTGAGACAGACGCTCCATACATAAAACAAACAGATAAGGGGAAAGAGGGTCTCCCTGGCGAACTCCACGGGTGGGTGATATGGACTCTAGCATTTCCCCGTTCCAGAGAATACGCATTCTGTTCTGCTCAACACAGTACATGATACATCTAATCTAAGAGCTCGGGAGGCCAACTTCAATCAAGGTGTCCCTCAGAAAATCCCATCTAAGCCGATCGTAGGCCTTCTCCAGATCGATCTTCATCACCATCCCACCCTTGCGCCCCTTCCTCTTTCTCAGCGAGTGGATGACCTCCTGCACCACCACGATATTATCCATCGTCTGACGACCTGGTATAAAGCTGGATTGCCTCGGGGACACAAGAGATCTCATAACAGACTTCAATCGGCTCGTCATCGCCTTCGTTATGGCCTTCAGGCTGACATTGTTCAATGAGATGGGGCGAAGCTGAGTGACTGACTCCGGTTCTTCCACCTTAGGGATCAGCACCACCGTGGACTCCGACACAGCAGGGGGGAGGGAACCATGCTCGAAAAACGACATCGCCATATCTGCTAGATCCTTCCCGACAACTTTCCAAGCCTGCTGGTAAAAAATAGCTTGAAAGCCATCCGAACCCGGAGCTTGGAAAGGTTTCATGTCAAAGACCGCCTTGTGGATATCCATAATGGTAAAAGGACGAAGGAGTTGGAGCCAATCATCCTGTCCGAGCCTGGGGAAAGCACCCTTCGGAAGCAGATCAACGTAGGGGGAGTCATCCTGCAAATAAAGCTCAGAGTAAAAGCTGAAAATAAGGCTCGCCAGCTCCACCTTGTCAGTTACCCAATTACCACTCCCATCTTTAAGAGCAGCAATTTTATTCCTTCGTCTGCGGATATTAGTCAGCTGGTGGAAATAAGCTGTGTTCCTTTCACCAAACTTCACCCAGTTATCTCGAGACCTTTGAAACCAGACAAGCTCTTCCTGTTCCAAAGTTTTGTCCAGTTCAGCAGCAAGCTTCGAGTGGAGATTTGCCAGGTTTGGGGAGAAATGCTCTGCTTGTCGTCGCTCAATACCAGCAATCCTAGCCAGTAACCTCTTCTTTCTCTGGAAAATGTTCCCAAAGACAGCCGAGTTCCAACCCTTTAGCTTGTCCGATAAACCCTGCAGAGCATCAGTGAAAGCAACCTGAGAATTCCAAGAGTTTTCAATAAAAGTGAAAAAGTCAGCATGGGTTAACCAAGCTGCCTCAAATCTGAAACGCTTAGGCATAGGGTGCGAGACTCCCTGATTCGTCCAAGTGGTGAGGATGGGGTGGTGATCCGAGTTGAGGCGGGTAAGGTGAGTCACTGAAGTCGTTGGGAAGGCTTCATTCCACTCCAGGTTACAGAGACTTCTATCCAGACGACTGGCCTTGTAAGAGGCGGTGTTGATCCCCCTGCACCAAGTAAACTTTGGGCCCGAGAAACCCAGGTCAAGGAGCTCCGCCTCATTTATCCAGTCCCCAAAGCACTTGCATCTCCTATAAGTAGCAGGGGAGGCAGGGCCAGTCTTCTCGTTCGGATCACGGATTGCATTGAAGTCTCCGGTAAGGATCCACGGACAAACTGTTCTCCTGCTCTGGTCAATCAAATGCGCCCAAAGAGGCTGCTGAAGTTTATGTCTCGGCGAGGCATAAATAGCAGTGAGCTTCCAACTCGGCATACCAGCCTTGCTGCAGATCAAAGTGATGTGCTGGTGACCAGCGGATTCCACTTGCATAGATAGAGTCTGCGAATTCCAGAAAACCCAGATCCCCCCGCTTCTGCCATTCGCCTCGACTCTAACCACATCCTGAAAACCCAGCTTGTCACAAACAGCATTCGCCACATCTCCACTGACCTGCGGCTCAAGCAAAATCACAATATCAGGTTTGTGAAGCTGAAGGGTGAGCTTGAGAGCACGGGAGAAAGCCCGACCCCCCGCTCCACCAACATTCCACGAGAGGATATTAAAAGGTACAGAATCAGACAAAGACATAATAGGCATCAAACAAAGAAAACGGAAACAGAAAGAGGGTAGGGGAGAGGGAGAAGGATCTCGAAACGCAAAAAAGGGGGGGGGGGGCGGCTAAGCCGGAGGCCCATTCCCGTCGGACGAAATCAGGCCGACGCCCGCCGCGGAGGGAGCAGGTTCCCGGCTGGCCTCAACGTCTCCAACTTCCTGGGACGACTCCGTCCACTCTTTGATCTGTTGCAGAGTTAGGGAGACCCGTTTATCATGGCCTCTGTTCTTCCGATCCTTGACCGGCGACCACAATTTGAGCGGTTTCATGGGGCTGTGCCGCACTAGAGTGCTCTTTCTCGGCGTCATTTCCCTCTTCCCCTGATCTCCTTTCCTCTTTTCCTTCCTCTGTTTCGTTCGCAAGACCGCAGATGGGACAGCTGGGTCAATTATTCTGGTCGGCGGAGGGTCATAAGGTTGGGCCTCAACAATCACAATTTTTGTGCCCTTTTCCCCTTTGCTTGAAAGGTTCACCAGCCCAACCTGACTAGGCGTGTTCGGCCCATCCTCCTTGGGCCCAGAGGAGGACGCAACATTACCCCTGGAGCTGGCCGCCCCTTTCTTTCTTGGGCTTTCCATCCTTGGGACCGGGCCGAGAATACCCGATGCCATTTCCCCTTCCATATCTGCCAGAACGACTTCCTTCCCTTTTTTGTTTTCCCCTTTCCCTTTCTTGTTCAGGCTTCCCCCATGCGTCGCCTGTGGACTCTGCTTCCGTTGAGGAGATTTGATCCCGGCCTGATTTGGTGGCCTCCCATTCTCTTTCCTCACATCCGCCTCTTTCCTTTCTTGTTTATTGATTATCCCTTCACTGATCCCCTCCGCCTGTTCCGGACGCCCCTGTCTTGGAAACTCCCGTTGATTGCGGCGTGACTTCCTCGAGACCAGCATCCAGGGGCCAAAGCCGGAGACTTCCTCCGATGATGATCCGACGGAAACTGTCGCCGGCGATGGAGCGAAATCCACCGCTCTATTGCTAGCTTGTTCCGGGTAAAGCTCAGGGCAGCTAATCTTTGTATGTCCTATCTTCCCACATTCGAAGCAGACAATCGGAATGTTTTCGAATTCAACCCTCTGCCATTTCCCATCAAGACGGATTCTTGGAATCAATGGCTGTGACAGATCAACCTCGACAGCAACCCTCGCGAATCTCGTACGTTGCTGGTGCAACGTGTGGAAATCAAGCTTGATCGCCCTCCCGATTAGATTACCCAAAGAGAACAGAAGATCCTTGTGGTAGAAGTGAACCGGAAACCCCGGGAATTGGACCCACACCACCATCGTATTTGGGAGTTTGTCTGTGACCCTGAACGCCGGAGTCCATTGTTGAACGACAAGATAGTGGTCGAAGATCACCCAAGGCCCGTCAGAGAGGGCCTTGAAATAATCTTGATCATTCCCCAATTTCACCAGGAAAAAATCCCTGTCCATCGCGAAAACCTCCATGTGCCCGGAGGGCCGCCAAAGTGATCGCAGTCTATTACAGAGGGTTGTATAGCCTATGGATTTCCCGAGAAGCCTGACCACCAGTGATCTCTGCCAAGGAGCACTGAGCTTTGCTTTGAAACCTTCTGAGATTCTGAGCTCAGGTTCCCCATTGAAAGATCCCGTCGTGATGTCGTGTTCCCCGACTGGAACCCACTGTGAGGACGTTTTCCCCGTTTGAGATCCGAGGCCAGCCACCGCCGTGGCATAGGAAGCCTTAGGCAAGGTCAGACGGAAGTCCTTGCTCATCTCGACAGGGCCCCCCTCAACAACCACCTCCTTCTCGATCCTCACTTGATCGACGTCGATCTGCATCTCAGCCTCCGGCTGAGGGATGTCAGGCGGCCGTCCCGGTGGAGCAGAATTCGACGTCGGAGCCATTACTTCAGCAGGAATCGTACAGAGCATTTTTTCACCCCACCCAATTTAGTCTCAAAACTGTCTATTTTTTTTGTTTTTAGTAATAAGTAATAACAAAGTTTGCTACTATTTAATCTTTGGGTAGGGTTTCAGGCAGGGAATATGCCCTCCTTTTTATGCGGGGAATATGCTCTTAACGTTAGCCTTTCCCATTTTGCAATTTCCTGGTTTTGGTAAAGTTGTTTTGCTATTTCCCCTTTATTGCAATTTATCCGTGGTAACACTTGCCACAAATAATAAACCTAATAATTCCAAAAAACAACAAACTGACTTTTCTCCTAAAAATTATAGGGATTTTTTCAGAAATAGCACCTTTAAAAAAATTACAAAAATAGCACCCTGCCGAAAAAATTTACACTAATAGCACCCTTTTTTATGGGCCGCACCTCGGGTTAATGACATAAATATTGTTTTTTTTAATTTACCACCAATATGGCGGATTAAAAACAAATGACACAGATATTGTCTTTTTGGAAAAGGCTTTGGCGGCCACACCGGAGACTCAGGCGCCGCCGCAGATTCTAAAGTTCCTGGCGCTGGCGCCCGAGTCCCTAGCGCCGCCGCGTCAGGCTATTTTTTTTTTAAATTTCCCTCGGGCTCGGGCCCCCCCCTCCCCTCCACCCTTATCTCTTTTCCCAGCCACACACTCCCCTCCCCTCCCCTCCCCTCCCCTCCTTCTTCCCGAGACCACACAACACCCCCCCCCCCCAAACCCTCCTCTTCTTCTTCTTTCTTTCTGCCCGAACAGAGAATCCCCGCCGCAACTGAGGTGCCGGCGCCTGTGAGTGGAGCGCCGCCGCCTGTAAGGGAAGCGCCGCCGCCGCAGGGGGAGAGGCCGGCGAGGTCGTGGCAGCCGTTTGCGCGGTGAGACTCTCGTCGGCGGCTTGAATTTTTTTTTTTAATGGTTTGTGTTTTTTTATTGATGTTTTGTTGTTTGTTTTTGCAATTCCTAGGCTTATGGATCCTTATTCGATGAGATTACCGCCGACGACAATTGATCCAAGTCCGGTCGATGTGACACTTCTTTGGGGACATGGCCAACATCGTATTGACTCTGTTTGGACAAACGAGGTAAGTATTTAATAATTATTCATGTAAAGTTAATTAGCTAATTAGATTATTTTAGTTGGTGAACTGAACTGTACTGTTAGAGAATAGGATTACGTATTAGATTTTTTGAAATTAGTATAATTTGATATTAGATTAGATAGATTAGAATTAATTAGGTGAAATTAGAATTATTACGAATGAAGATAAATTAATATAAGTTTTGTGCACTATAGGCTGGTGATCGATCTTTCCATGCTCGAGGTACGACCATTTTAGTACCTTACCGTGAGCTTTATCGGCCATATCTCGAAGCGGCAGGCTTGTTAAGTGTCGTGCCCCTAGTCCCTATGAACCCCGATGCGAGTTTGATTACTGCACTCGTAGAGCGGTGGCGACCCGAGACGTCGACCTTCCATCTACCGTGTGGTGAGGTCACGATCACGTTAGAGGACGTTGTTACACTGTCCGGTTTGGCGATCGACGGTGATGCCGTCGTAGTTGATATACCAGATGAGGAGTGGTCGGCGATCTGTTTGCGACTATTAGGACGGGTTCCTTATGATCTTGTAGGCGGGGTCGCTGTTGTTAGGATTACGCCATATGAATCAACAACTCCATATTGAAAGTTGCGTTGTAGTGCGTGGTGTTTAATCGCCATCTGTGCAGCTTGTTTCGAGTGAAATATCTGCCCCTTGTAGAATTCTCCTTCAAAACTATCAACAATATGCATTGGAATTACGCCATATGAATCAACAAGTGAGTATTCTTCGTCCTCTTCATTACCCTGCAAGTAAAAATATGGAGGATAATTAGGCACTTATTCCCCCTCTTCCTCCTCCTCCTCCTCCTCCTCCTCATCTTCCTCCTCTCCGTCATCACCGTCACCATAGGCATGATCGGATGGCACGCTCCATGTATCATCTTCTACCTCTCCACCCTGATCCTCACTGAGCTCAACATGTATCTCAGCACCCAAACAATAAGGATTTTGTGCCATAAAATTCCAAAGCACATTCAAGCTATCATCATCCACAATAGGCATTGCATAATGAAATAAAACACCATTCTGCCATTCTGGAAGACGGTAAATGAAACTTGTGATCACATCACTATCTTGTACTGCTTCGTCTCTACGCCGTATTCTTGGAATTAGATTCTCACAAAGATAATGATATGTGACCCTGGATGGAATCGTCATCTGAAAACTACTACCACCAACGAATTTGACGCCCAAATTATCTTCTACTTTCTCCGATTTCCATCGAACGACTAGTTCAAATCTTCTAAAATCACTACAAAAAAACAGACTCACTAATTAAAACTAAACACAATCATAATAACATTTGAATAATATAATTACAAAAATAAATGCGTCTCTTACCTATTAGCCATTTTTGCAGCAGCAACCAGAGCTCCAAAGCTCCTTTGTTTTGAACGATTTTTTTGTGGTGTGAAACTGAAATGAAATTGGCTGGGTTTATATAGGGGGGAGGCTACCTAACTCGCTGATGACTCAGGCGCCGCCACTCTAGTCTCGGGCGCCGCCACCTGGGACAGTTTCTTACCTAACTCGCTGGACTCACCGGCGCTGTCGCCTGACTCTTTGGCGCCGCCGCTGTCTCTTAATCCAAAATATCATCCAGAGCGGCGGCGCCTAAGTCCCAGGTGTTGTCGCCATTTTGTGTGTCCAAAACACAATATCTCTGTAAATACTTCTTAATCCGCCATATTGGTGGTAAATTAAAAAAAAAACAATATTTGTGTCATTTATCCCCGCACCTCTATGGAGCGGTTTAAAATCCTGGACTAAAACCGCATCTTGGCCAAGCGGTTTTAGGTCTGACCTACAGAAACCGCATGGCCGAGGTGCGGTTTAGGCCTGACCTATCTAAACCGCACCATGAAGCTGCGGTTTGCTTCTCCCAAGGGTTCACCGTTGCTTGCAGGTGCGTTCCCCGATCCGTGGCGCGGATCGCTCTGCTGGCGCGCGGTCCGCCCTCCGATCGCTCGCCCATCCAACGGTGTAGAAGACCGTTGCGCAGACTAAGGAAAACGCAGCTTCAGTGTGCATTTCCTATGCTGACGTGGCATGGAACGCATCACTAAGGTGCGGTTTATAAGTAAAACGCACTTATAAACCGCACCTTAGGGGTGCGTTCCATTAAAATTGGTGCTATTTCTGTCAATATTTTCGGATTGGTGCTAGTTTTGTAAATATTTTTGTTAACGTGCTATTATTAAAAAAATCCCAAAATCATAGTGGTATTACCGTAATAGTAGTCAGTGTACTACTGCTTTTTTCAGTAGTGGTATTGGTAGTCATGTACTGATTATATTGTCATGTACCAGTATAGATTTCTTATAGTGATGCTGATTATCACATAATGACCCAATTTTTTTTTATTGATAATAATTTTCATGTATTGGTACTAGTTTTAGTTAGCCGGCTGGAGGAAATACAGATGGAGGCCGAGGAAGCACAACGATGGAGGCGAATAGAAGAAGGTATAGGGAGGTAGAAGTATGAAGTGGAATACGTAGAGAATGGTTTAGTTTTGAAAAACATTTCTTCTCAAATGTGGTTAACATATATTTCTTTTTAAAAAATGGTAAATTTCCACCTTCTTCTTGATTGTATAAGGTGGGCACCATAACCTATCCATGGATTCAGTTATCTTCTTGCTTTCATTGTGTGAAACATTATTAAGTGAATCTTTGAATGATAGATGTATTTAAAAAAATAAGTTTTACATTTGATTGAGTTAACCTTGTTGTCAAAACAAACAAGTGGGCAGTTCAAGTTACCGGCTTGTTGATTGATTTTCCTGAAAGGAATCCGTAGGTCAATTATTATATACCTGGTTATATTATATTTAGTTTTGCTTTCGTTTTCAATCTCATGATAATTATATAATTTAGTTGCTTAGGAAAGATATTATGTCATCCACATAGAATGTACCTAGAAGGTCTCTTCGCATCTTGATTGCAATTTATTTAAATCACGCGCCTACAAATTATGGTGATGATTATGCAACAATTTCACATTAACATTTATCGACATTTCGTCCGCGTAACATTGTCTATATAGGATACAGCTTTAAACTAATAATAATAAGAAGATTTTGTCTTCAGGGTACATAGAAATTAATTTTGTTTTCCAAATTAAATTATAAAACATTAGGGGTAGGTAGGGCACAAGAGGGCTCCTAATTGCCGAGTCACATTACATTATGACTTCTAGGATCTGTTTATTAATTAATTAATATATATATATTAATATATATATAAATGTGAAGTTTGGTTACCATTGCCTAATTATTTGCATTTTGATATCCCAAATTTAATTAAATCACAGTTTAGTCATTATAATGTACATTTTATATTTTGATACCCAAATTTAATTTTAATGTAAAATCATTGAACAATTATGTTTTGGTATCTAAATTTTATGAGATTTTCATACCTACAATTTATTTTAAATTTGCATATTGATTCAATGTTTAGATTTCACTTGAATCCATGAATCCAATCCACCAATCCTTTTGAACCAATTAAATCCAATTCACAATAACATAAACGTATAAATTTAGTTTGTATAATACAAGATGTTGTATCACTCAACCGTAGGAGAAGATTCGACCATTTTATATTTGCTAATTACGTGAATCATTAAATAAATGATTAAAGAGAGACGACTCTAAAACATTAAAAAAGCGAATTTATAAAAACATTTAGTACATTTACGGGGTAGTAAACAAACTTCTATTAACTACATGTAACAAAATATGTCACATCTACATAAGCAAGTGTCAATAAATTGCTACGGTGAAAATGGTTGATTGTTGTATATATTGACGTTCAACTAAATGAAATTCTCAAAACCTTTCTACCATCTACTTTTTCTTCGTTTCATTTTTCACTCGCCCTCCATAACCCTTTCTTTATTTCTTTCTTTGCCTTCTTCGTCTAACCATAATTAGTATACTATTTTTATGTATTCTAATCACAAGTATAAACGGGTCCATACACGACTCACCAACAGTCTAGAGAACTAATAATTGAACCATGAACCACTAACTTTTTCAGCTCAATGTCCATTCCACTAAAAAATAAATAAATATGGTTATTACTTATTAGAAAGCCGTCATTTTTCACTATGAGATTTGAGGGCGTGAAATTTTGAGCGAGTTCCAGTTTGTATTCGTTTTGCTTCTCTATATAGTTTTTCTTTTCCACCCGGGCTAGAATTTTCAACAATTATACATGTAATGTTTGGTTAGGTATCTACACATATCAAATAAATAGTTTTATTTTTCTATAAAAAAAAGTAAATGCCTATCATCTTAAATACATCACCATAAAAAGAATTAAACCTCAACTATGCAAATCACAGTTCTGTAACTAAACTTCATAGATCTTTAGATTTATAACCTTTTTTTTTTTTTTTTGCATATAAGTCCTCAAAATGTTGATGAAACATCATTTTAGTACCTAATTTTTTTGTGTTACATTTTGTTACCTAAACTTTAAAGTTCTACAAATAGGTTTAAATTTTGTATGTGTAATTAAACGCTCTTGAATAAATGGGTATCCATAACCAATTCATACACATTTAGATTATCGAAGTAAATATCCAAACCCTACCCAAACCCATCTACAAACTTCCAAACCAATATATACGTCACCCATTACCTACATATAATCAATGGCCCTACTTTGGTTTAGATAAATATCATTTACAAGCCAAAAAAATTTAAATTGGATGTTGACTGTCATATTTCTCTTCTCAGTCAATATCATATGGTCAAGCCAATATTACTAACAAAATTGCTAAAAAAATTATTTTTACGCTAATAATACTAACAAAACATCATAACGGGACACATAATACATGCTCGTAGGCCATCTCCGTCCGCGACAAGGTGCGGCATCGCTACCTAGTAAAAATTGCAATCAGAAGCAAGATTACTGTTCACTAACTTGATATATAATGAGACTGCAATTCGGGCTTGATTTGTTTATAGTTATTTTTATACTTTCCAGAAGATCCCTACTATACTTTAATTTAATGTCTATTTTTTATCCAAACCTTTTTCATGTTTTTTATATATTATCCAAACCTATTAAAATTCTATTGATTAGCCAAATCTATCATAATGCATCAAAATATTATACATTTTTACGTTATCGTTAATAATTTTGTAACTCTTTTCTTAGTTAAAATACTAAAATTTTGGAATGTTGACCTTCATGTGTTTCTTCCAAGTCAGTATCATGTTGCCAAGTCAATATAACTAACAAAATTGCTAACTGGAATTTAACATTTGGCTAATTTTTAGTATTTCGATAGGTTTGGATAATATAAAAGAATATGAAAAAAGTTTGGATAAATAGACATTACCCTTTAATTTAAAAACATTGGTGGTTTGAGGTACAAATAAAATATATAATAATCTCATTAAAATTGAGATTATATTTTGGGATCAGCATAATTCGGGCTATGGATTTTCGCTTGATCGTGAGTTATTTTTATACTTAATTTCAAGAGCCTTTCTACTATACTTTAGTTGTAAAGCACAATGTACAAATTAAACTTAAATCATAACGTTTAACCTCTTCTTCTTCTCCTTAGTTTGTATCTCAATCATTAAATTGGACATTTCTTCTTCTTCGTGCTCCCAAAACTCTTACTTAAGTTACTAGCCATCCTTAGGGGTGGCTATACGGTCCGGTCCCGTTAAATTGGCCCGAATTGATCCGGTGCCAGTCCGGTCTTTTTGGGAATATAAGGACCAAAGATTGGATTGGATACAGTCTGGTCTTGACCCGGTCCGATCCCAATTCGGTCTTGACTTTAGATTGAACTTGTGAAAATTTGAGTGGTCTATGGACTCAAAGAGTAAGAAGTTGGTTAAGTTTTGGGTGTTGGGCTATCTTATCCGATTTTTGATCCGATCTCAAACGATTTTTTACCTCAAATCTAAACCCGAGATTGGATTGGATTGTTTGCTATCCGGTTTCAGTCCGGTCCGGGTTATACGGTCCGGTTTCGGGTAAAACCAAATAGCCCGGACGAAATAGCCAGCCCTAGCCACCCTCACATGCATACACCATCAATTAGCGATAAACACTAGGGGAGGGCACATGAGTGATTAATCCACGGTTGACATCAATCCACCCGCAAATAGGGCTGGCTATTTGGTCTGGGTTTTTTGGTTTTACCCGAAACTGAACCGTATAACCCGGATCGAGACCGGACCGGGACTGGATAGTAAACAATCCAATCCAATCTTTGGGCTTAGATTTGAGGTAAAACACCGGATAAAGACCGGATAAGAGAGCTCAACACCCAAAACTTAAGGGTAATTTGCATAAACGGTCGCAAACCTTTGCACTTAGTACAAAACTTAACCAACTCCTCACCCTTTCAGGCCTTAGGCCACTCAAATCCCCACAATCTCAACATAAAATCAAGACCGAATTGGGACCGGACCGGGTCAAGACCGGACTGTATCTAATCCAATCTTCGGTCCTTATATTTACAAAAAGACCGGACTAGACCGGATTAATTTGGGCCAATTTAACCGGACCGGACCGTATAGCCACCCCTACCCGCAAATAACATGAACTTTAGTGGGTGAATGATTGCAAATTGATAAATCTCTTACCTACACTTATTTAGGTATGGAAATATTGAGAATAGTAAGAGCATGATGATGATTAGTTTAAATTTTTTGAACCTCATTATGTAAAGAAGGAGAAGGGTTATTCTGGAGTTTGGGTAGTGTACTCTTTTTCCTTATCCGTAATAAGCTAAAATTTTATACAATTATTTTTATTTGGCATAATAAGTACTCCATATAAACAACTCACTTAATTTGAGTTATTTGACACAAGATATTTAACTTGAAAAACATTTAGTTCAAGGATACATATTATTTGCAAATACCGGTTGAAACACGAACTTCCAAGTAAATTTGCCACTCGCTACATTTCAACCGCAAGGAAGTGTGGCCTCGTTTCTGGTATATTAGTATATACTAGCTTTCATTGCCCGCGCTCTGCGCTGGGATATGCGTAACATCAGTTTATAGTTGTTTAATTATGCAAATAAAATCAAGTCGATATTATATATATGATCATTCGTATACACAATCTGCTGATCTTGTATCAATAAAGGCAAATCCAACACAAAATCAAAGTTCTACATTAGAATTATACTGCTATATAAATCTTGAATGAGTAAATGAGCATGGCAAGTAATATATTACAATTATCATTTGGACTCTTCAGGACCTTCGTGGGGAACATTTCAACTTGCACCTCCAAGAAATCATGTATATTCTATTCAAGGAGTCACCATGTGGGTCACAATCTATAAGATTTTCAAAGAGATTATCAGTTCGCCAGATGTGAACTTATTATTTATACATCTCAAAGTTTTCGTGACTTTCTCAAACCAATCGAAAGAGACTTTGGAAGTAGATTTTGCAATCTACCAATCACATCTCACAGCAGAATGTTGGCACGATCCATCTGCTAACTTCAACTGCATATAAAGCAAGAGAAGGAAAGGAGTCAGAAACATAATTAGGCATAAAATCAAATTAAAACCTTTGGAGCACACCAAACTAAACCTCTATCCTCCTGTAGTTTCTCCGTTTAGAGGCACCACATGACCAATCATAATAATTGCAAGTCAATAATCAAAGCCCAGGGGAAAAGCAAAAGAGATGGATTTACTCAAAGGATTAAACTTGATTCTATAAATCACTGACAAATTGAACTCGAAAACAATGGTTTACTCAAAATTTAATTGTGTTATACTCACAAATCCACCATTTTGCAGAAGGAAAATATAGCCGACAAAGCTCTGGAATTTTATGACTCAGAAGTTCAATCGCAATACACCAATCTTTTAACAAAACTCGTATTAGTTGGCGCAGGAAAGGGCGAATCAAATGATCAAGAATATATCAACAACACTAAGTGACAAATAAAGAAAAAAGAGAGGAACAACAATAAATAACCACCAAACTTGTATAGAACCTATGATCATTGTAGGCTTCTCCTCTATCATATACACCGTTAACCAATCAACTCCTACCATTTTCAAAGATCTGGGCCAAGTATAAAAAATTACAGGACAACAAAATTATAAGGATTTGGAAACAAAACATACGCAGAGAGCCTGAAACCTAAGGAAAGACGTCAAAGGTTTCTAGTCCATATAATCGTGGTTGTCTAACCAGTTTCTAATAGAAGAAGATATGATCAATCAAGCGCAAAATTCAAAAAATAAAAGAGTAGAAACACAGTCATGATCGTTGATACTTTGGTCCTACCGAAGCTTGCATTCACCACTGCGGCAACCTATTCAACGAATCACGGATTGCCATCCAGGCAACTAATGATCTTGATGGTTATTCTCTATAAATTGACGACATCTTTTTCTTGTAAATAAACTCGTTGATGGCATTTTATTCAAAAGCGGCCAAACAAATACTTGAAAGGAGAAAGAGATAGAGAGAAAAAATCAAGGAGGAATCAACTCACAACAAAAGCCTGCAAATCCGGGTCACATAATCCCCTTGGGACCGCACAATAGTCGCATTCGGTTGCTCTGAGTTCCGTTGGTTTTTGGAAAATTTATAAGGAAGTGCGTTAAAACCCAAATGTTTATGTATGTGAGAATTGATAATATAAAATCCAACCTTCAAGAGCAGAATCATGATGAGAGATAACCGAGAATCAGAGCTCATCTGAGATGGGAAGGTGGTCTGTATATATCATGAATCTCCCCCGAAAAATGGATTGTCTGAGCATACGAACTGCCAAGAGCCTGCATAGGTGAGAAACCGTGTGAGCAAAGATGAACAGGGGAAGAAAAATCGGAGACCAGCGTTAAAAGAATATTATGCAACTAAAGATTGCAAAAGAGAGAGACGAAGAAAAACCATCAAATTCTCACCTTAAAGCGTCAGGGTTAAGAATCTGGTTCCCGGCGTCCGATTTCGTTGCCCTGAAGTGCAGCCCCTTCAATGTGGATCTACAATCCAAACCATGGAACATTAGATTGCTGGCTTCTTTTGGAACTCGATGGCCTCCTTGGCTGTGAACTCATTACAGATACCCTCCTCTGAAAGGCCATAAAACCCCATGCTGAGAAAAAATCAACAAACAGAGAAAACATACCTTGCTGATTTGGATCTCCTCCGATTCCTCTCTCGGCCTCATAGATTCTCCTTCTACAGTTGATCGCTACAGTTGAGAAACAAAGCAGAGAGAAGTGCGAGAAGGAGAGTGGAAAGAGCAAAATATGAAGAAACTTTTGACCCTTCTCTGAGTCCTTTTGTTCATCAAAAAGTGAAATCAAAGAGAAATAGAAACCAGATGGGGTAGGTTAAATGAATGGTCAAAATGAAGGCTACGTGGCCCTTAAATGTGCCAAACAAATCACAAAAATATCCATGGGAAAATCTCTTCCCTTTCTTCCTCTCTGTGGGGATGTACAGCAGTACAGTACCCCTTCGCCTTCAGAAACCCAAAGAGAGAAACCAGAAGATGCAAGAAAAAATTAAAAAAAAATGGATGGATTCAGTCTCCATTTGGAACCCTTCTTTCCTCTCACAATCTTTGCAGCCAAAGCAATAAGTCAACAACTGGTCTCCATCAGCAATCCACCGTCATCTCCCAATCTCTGTCGCGTAGTCTCTCACCTGCCGTCGAATCATCCAGAAAGCACATGATGCTGGAACGTCTCCCTGTGACCAACGCAAATAGAACTGAGCTCCAATCCGAGGCAATTCTTTTATCTCAGCGCCCTCCAATCGCCTCAAACAACCCATCACTGTTCCATGAATGGCCCACAGTTCCTTCAAGAGTCTCTATGAACAGCACAGAGAGACATACCAGCACCACATAGCTCCTCTGCCCCGTACAGTAAAGCGTCAGATGAACAGGAAAATAAGGTCTATATGAGCAGTAAAACGTATCTAGGTCCACAGTAAATTGTGACGGAAATCCCCATCAGCACTCATCAGGGCATCCATCAGCAACCCTCCAGCACCCAAAAATCATCTGCCCCACAAATGCATCCCTGTGACCAAAGCGATTTTTCACCCAATGTGCTTCAGATTACACCTACCAAAAGAAAGGAAGAACACACCACAAACGACGGTAAAAGAACATAAAGGACCCACCACAACTCAACAACCAATAATAACTCAGTGAATAGGAAATTTGAGTCTGTATGAATAGTAAAAACAGTCTAGATGTACAGTGCAAGGCGTATTGAGCTATTATACTTTTAATATAAATATAAACAAGAGTTACTTTTCACTAAGAATCAACTAATGTTAAACCTCTCGGTCTTGTTTTATTGGCTAATTATTTCTGTCTCTTGTTGGGCTCATGATCAATTTTGAATTTGAGCATCACTATTACTAATTCTCTATGTTATCGGACATTGTTTTTTATTTTGCTTCTATAATATGACTTCATTCAAAATCTTTACTAATAGAGCAATGCAGCCTACGACAGTCTGACAACAATAATTTCGATGAGAGAAGCGATCCACAACTGTTAAAATAACGGTACCCCTTCCTTTCGATTTGATTTCGATACTCGGTGGGTCATGTCCCGCGAAGGGCCTTAGAATCAGAACTATAACCATGATTTTGTATGCGGTGAGATGCATTGGAATCCATGAATGAAGTCGTGTTGTGAAAAATAAGAAAGAAAAAAATCCAGAAAGAAAAAAAATAATGGATTGAAGACACATAATTGGGTAACAACAACCGCATCGTTTGTGTGTGAAATGAGGGATAGGGCAACAAGAACCGCATTGTTTGTGTGCGGCGCCTGTTTTTCTCACCAGGTCGAGATGAAAATGGATCAACCCATGGGTCGACTTGCTGCAAGATTCTCGGGTTGAAGACATACAACATTATTTTCCCGTTAATTTGCGAAATAGGCATCTTTTCCGATTTTCCTTTTGGTTAACCCTATTTTTGAAATTCTAAGTTGAATATTTGAATATTGATGTTATAAAGTTATATATTATTAACCATATATTAAATTTTATTTAATATAATTTATAAATGTATAAGTAATATAATAATTTTCCATACATTCGACCTAAAGCGATCAAACCATTAACTATAAACCGACTTGATCGACCTGATTGAGAACCTTGATTATAAGTGAAAACAGAAACACAAGTTGCCACAGTAGAGTGCGGGTGAACACGTCTAGTTAATTAAATTACAACTTAGTCACTATAATGTATATTTTACATTTTGATACCCCAAATTTAATTTTAATGTAAAATTATTGAACAATTATGTTTTGGTATCTAAATTTTATATTTAAAATCATTGAACATACGACAAACTCACACCATCCATTTCAAATAGGATTTGTCCCGTGGACACACGAGCAATCCAACTCGTACGATTTCCTTTTACTCTTCCCATTCTTACTTCTGTAGGTTTCCCGGTAATAGGGAGATCCGCGAGAACTCTTACCCTTATCTTACCATTTCTTCTGAATTGTCCGTTGAAGGAACGAAGTCACTTGACCAAAGGTTTATCATATGTTCAACCGAAGGGAGAAGGGAAGTTGAAGGCAAGTTACTGTTGCCTAAACAATTACATTTTGATACCAAAAATTTAATTTTAATGTAAAATCATTGAACAATTATCGGTTAGTTTGGCCCTGCTATAGCTTTTGCAGAAGCAGCTTCTTGCTGGAGCTTTTAGAGAAGTATTTTTAAAAAAAAGCAGTTGAGTGTTTGGCTGAAAAACTATTAGAAGTGCTTTTTAATATGAGAGGTTGTATAAAATGACTATAAAGGACTTATAATATAAAATATGAACACAAATTCTAAACAATAAAAAGTAGTCAAAATGGATCTTATTAGATTTATTCTATATTAAATAATATGATTTTATAATATGAACACAAATTCTAAACAATAAAAAGCACTTCTCAAAGCCGGGCCAAACATAGGGTATGTTTTGCTATCTAAATTTTATGAGATTTCCGTACATACGTCTTTTTACTTTTACACATATTGATCCAATGTTTAGATTTCACTTGAATCCATGAATCCAATCGACCAATCCTTTTGAACAAATCCATGATTCCAATCCACCATAACATAAAAGTATAAATTTAGTCTGTACCATACAAGATGTTGTATCCTTCAACTATAGGAGAAGATTCGACCATTTTATATTTGCTCATTACGTGAAACATTAAAAAATAAAATAAAAGAGAGACGATTCTAAAATATTGCAAGAGCGAATTTATAAACTTATTTAGTACATTTACGGGGTACTAAACACACTTCTACTAGCTACATGTAACAAAATATGCGACATCTACATAAGCAAGTGTCAATAAACTGCTACGGTGAAAAGGGTCGACTGTTGCATTGGCGGCCAACTAAAAGAATTGGTCAAAACCTTTCCATCATCTACTTCCCCTTCGTTTTATTTTTCACTCGCCTTACGTAACCCTTTCTTTATTTCTTTCTTTGCCTTCTTCGTCTAACCCTATACTATTTTTATGTATTCTAATCACAAGTAGGAACGGGTCCATACACGACTGACCAATAGTCTAGAGAATTAATAATTGAACCATGAACCACTAACTTTTTCAGCTCAATGTTGAGTCCAATTAAAAACAAATATATATGGTTATTACTTATTAGGAAGTCGTCATTTTTCACAATGGGATTTGAAGGCATGAAATTTTAAGCAAGTTCCAGTTTGTATTCATTTTGCTTCTCTCATGAGTTTTTCTTTTTCACCTGGGCTAGAATTTTTAACAATTATACATGGAATTTTCAACAATTATACATATCAAACAAATACTAGTTTTCTATTTTCTATAAAAAAGTAAATAATTATCATCTTAAATACATCACCATAAAAGGAATGAAGCCTCAATTATGCAAATTACAGTTGGGTACCTAACTTAATAGATATTTAGATTTATAACCTAAATTTATTTTTTTTGCATTAAGTCCTCAAAATATTTATGGAACATTACATTTTAGTACCTAAATTTTTTGTGTATTACATCTTAGTACTAGAACTTTTGAAGTTCTATAAATAGGTATAATTTTTGTATGTGTTATTAAAACACCCTCGAATAAATGGGTATCCATACGCAACTCATACACATCTTTAGATTATGAAAGTAAATATCTATACCCTACCCAAACCCATCTACAAACTTTCAAACTCATATACACGTCACACATAACCTACCCATAATCAATGAGTCTACTTGGGTTTAGGTAAATATCATTTATTAGCAAAAATTTTCTAAATTTTTGAATTGGTTGTTGACCGCGATATATCTATTCTCAGTCAATATCACTAACAAAGCTGCTAAAAAAAATTAATTTTAGACTAATAATACTAAGAAAACACCTTATTGGGTCACCTAATACATGCCCATAGGCCATCTCCATCCCGCGACAAGTGGCGGCATCGACACCTAGTATATATATAACTAGCGTGGCCCCGGCCAGTTGGCCGGAGGAAGGTGAGGTATGAAATTTGATAATGTAATGGGGTGTATAGCTTATTGTTGTTTAGTTTTTTTTTTTTTGGGAAACACGTGATAAAAATAGTGAATTTTAGTAGGAAATAGACATGAATGATACAACAAATAAAAAATCGGCCTTATTAACAAAATCAAGTACATGTTACCTTGTGAAACAATATTGTTTCTGGTAATATGATGAGGTGGAGTAAGTTTTATAGAAACCGAATTCCAGAAAATCGAATAAAAAATCGCCTATCCCGTCGGTTTTCGGGAAATGAGCATCTCACAATCGTTGCTAGCTTTTACTCGGCCTGTTGGCAAATTAATTTGCTTTATAAAACTTTCAACTTGTCGTCATTGTGCCTTCTGGTTTTTGTCAGACCATGATAAAATCTAAGGAAATCAAGAACGAACAACACGATTTGGAATAGGAACCGTCGTTGTCGTATCCCTAGAAAATGGTGGTAAACACAGACTCACCTGCCAAACTGATTTGGATTGAGATTTTTATCGGGTATTAGGGAACCATGTGATTATAAATTAGACTTGATCAAAACGGGCCAAAACTTGAAATTCAACATGTTTGACCGACCCATGCCAAATTCTAATTATTCTTTACTTTTAAACTTTCTATTTGAAAATAAAAAATAGTGAAAGAAAAGAGATGACTTCAATTCGCCATTTGCACATCACTTATTCGGGAATAAAACCATAGAAATTCAAAAGGAACTGAAAATGTTTAGGATCATTTTAATGTTTAAAATAACCAAATAGATCTTTTTGTTTAGTTTTTACTAACAAATACCAAACGATTCCCTATAAAATACACTATAATTTGATCATTATGATATCAAACAATTATATAATATATATTTAAAATGATAAAAATTGGACTAATTGGGTTGGTCGAGGTTGAACCATTGATTAACTTTAAAATACATTATATTTTAGCCACTAGGATATAAAATAATAGCATAATATATATTATGTCAGAGAAAATAACTTGTTTTAGAATGTCAAACCAATGATGTTCATTTGTTTTACTTGATTGCCAAATCCCGTGTAGGTCAGGCCCATTCAACTCTTTTATTTTATGGTTAGCAGTTAGCCCATTAGATACCATGCATTAGTTTATTGTTAAATTTTTTATTTTTAGCAATAAAAATGAGTATTGTTTTTACCTTTTCATATATATTTATCACCACAGAGAAATAAAAGGGCTTAAAGAAAAAAATTGACAGTCCTGGACCCGTTTAAATCCACATGTGTACGGTAAGTTGGCCCGTTCCACAGAGTAAAGAGAAAAAAATTGACACTCTCTATTCTACCCTTCCTACAAACGCTCCTGGAGCAGAGAATTTGAAATGGGGGGAGGGTTTTTTCATCCCTGCTATTATATGTTTTTAATTTAAAAAGATACAACAAATATACTTAGTGTGATTGGTTATGATCCTTGCTTTTCTTTAAAATGGTCATGGTTCGAATCGCAGTACGTGTCTTTTTAATGAATAAAAAAAAAAGTAATTGTGAAGAGCAAAATTTTAACAAGTTTTCTCTTAGACGTTAAAGATAAATTGTGGTTTCTTGAATTCTGGTATTGGGCTGTTGTCCAACTGTTCATCATCGTTTCAATCAGGGGCGTAGCCAAAATTTTATTGAGGGTGGGTCATTTAAGAAAAATACACATGATAAAATAGTTTTGTTAGTTTTTTAAATCATTCATGATATAATTTTGTATTTACAAAAACTTGGTAAATTAAATAGATTTTGAAATTATCAAGAATATCACTCTACATGTATCAAACAATTTTTCATGATTTAGTTACACATTTGCTTTTAACGGTTTTCTTTGTCAAGACCGTTTAGTATCAATATTTCGAGTTGTTGGGGAAGATTTAATAATGGATCTTATACTATTTAGTATTTATCAACACATCCCTACTAATGAAAACCAACTTATACGTGCTTATAGTTTTCTCAAATTCGAATATCATGTGATTAATAAATGGGATCACAAAGATTCGAACACATGATCTCTCGGTCAACCATTCTCAATTAGAAGTTCCCTAAATTTCATTATCGATTTACTATATATTATACTAATTTACTCAATTTTTTCATTAGGAGTCACTGGTTACACTCTCCCCTACACCTTATTCGAATAAAATTATATATAAAAAGTTGGCTATGATTTGGTGGGAATTTGTTGTTGATATTGAATAACTACATCTTTAAATTTAGGTGGATCATATCTTATAAATCATGACAAAAACATTGAATATGTCAATACACAACTTATAAATCATACATAAAATATTTAAAAGGTCAACCATTCTCATTTAAAAATGTGTCATAACCGATTAACTATTATACCTAATTTATCCTTTTTCATTCCGAGTTAGGGTGTGTCCCGAGACCCGCCCTCTAACACACTCCCTCCGCCCCTGGTTCAAACCCAGGTTATTTCTTGAGTTTAAGTTGTGCCCCATTTCTTGCCGCACTAAGAAGAAGATAGTCTTCGCACTTCTGCTGAAATTGAATATCATGTCACTGATGGCAGTTAGTGAACTCATTTTGCTTTGATCGATGGTTGTTTTTATAATTGGATCATCCTACATCAGCTACTACACCTTTGTGTTTTATGACAATCAAGTTGCCTTTATACTTTGGCTATTTTTATTTTAAGATAACATACAAGCACGTGAGAAATGATTGTTACTTTGTTCAAGAGCGAGTTTCTTTATGGTGACATAGTCTCACTCGAGATTGTCACTCGAGTCTGGACTAGTTTTGACATTTATACTTTCGCTTGAGAGTGAGTGCATGTTGTGTTTATTTGAGTTACTTGGTTGATAACTAACTGCGTTAATCCTTTGTCAATTTTTTCCTTGTCCTAGTTGAAAGTGGAAACTCG